GAAGACAACGAAAGATACCAAGCAAGTGGTGGTTCGTTCGGCCTCATCCAGCCACCCAAAAGATCCTGAGATTTTAAAAATATCTAGCCCATCCAGAGAATCAAACCCAAGATTTATATAATAGACACCCTTTCCTCTCCATCCTCAAGAAAAGCAGTAAAAATGGACAGGAAGAGAGTGGGCATTGTTGGTGCTGGTGTGAGCGGCCTAGCAGCCTGCAAGCACGCGCTAGACAAGGGGTTCAGCCCGGTGGTATTCGAGGCCGATGACACCATTGGTGGAGTGTGGGCGCATACCTTGGAGTCGACGAGGCTTCAGGCGCCTACGACATCGTTCCGGTTCTCAGACCTGGCATGGCCTGCAAGCGTGACAGCGACGTACCCAGGCCACCGGGAAGTCATGGAGTACATCAGGTCGTACGTGTGCGAGTTTGACCTCCTCAAGTGTATCAAGTTCAATAGTCAGGTGTTGGGAGTAGAATACCATGGTGCAACTGAGGAAGAGATCATGGAGTGGGAGCATTGGTCTGGCAATGGGACGGCATTCGGAGCTGGGAAGGATGGAAGGTGGAGCATCACAGTGAAGGACCTGAAAATTGGTAATGTTGAGGTACGTGCAATCCCTTGGGACCCTCATATATCTGTCTTGCTCTGCCTCTGAATTCAGATATCGACATGCTTGCTAATGCGCACATAGAGCTCAGATTGCAGGTTGCGTCTAAATGGGGTATTATGATTCTATTTCGATTTCATTATGATGTATAGAAATATAGAATGGCAGTAGATAGCTAGGCAGTTGGCACAGATGAGTCATATGCATCGACTTCATGTAAGTGCATAATAAGAGAGAAGAATCACACAACCAAACGAGAAATACTCTCTTTAGAGTGGTATAAAAATGTTGTTCATTCATAAAATCCATAAATACATCTCCTGACCAGAAAAATCTCAAATAAGATAAATCTGCTTGAATAATGTAATGCATTTTTACCTTATGTACACAGAATCACTCTGTAGGCTATAGCACAACTATGTGTAAGCAATCTCGTGTCACAGGTTTTTCAAGTGGATTTTCTCATACTGTGCATTGGAAGGCATAGTGGGACACCAAATATCCCGGAATTTCCAGCTAATAAAGGGCCCGAGTTGTTCAAGGGGAAAATATTGCACTCTATAGACTACTCTTATATGGATAATGTGGCTGAATTTGTTAAAGGGAAGAGTGTGACAATAATTGGGTCCGGAAAATCAGCATTTGACATCGCTACGGAGGTTGCTAAGGTGAATGGTGAGTCCCAAGAGAACTAAGACCTCACCAACTAGCAATAATTGTTCAAAGGAATATGTGCCTGACACAACTATTCCAATGCAGGTGCTGATCAGCCATGCACCATGATATATAGAACGAGGCACTGGCTGGTTGATAAATCCAGCATATGGGGAATTAACCTTAGTTACTTCTATCTTAACCGCATTTCGCAACTACTTGTTCATAAACCTGGTGAAGGATTTCTGCACTATTTATTGGCTTGTGCACTCTCTCCCTTGGTAAATAATTACTTCCAACTTAAATAGAGTTTTGAACGCAGTCAATGGTCAATTTATTTCATATAAGCAATTCGTGCATAGAAAGCTCATGAATCCACAAAACTCCTGTTATTTCAGAGATGGGCAATTACAAAAGTAATTGAAACCTACTTCAAGCAAAGGATTCCTCTAGAAAAGCATGGGATGGTACCTGACTACAGCTACTCCTTCGCCATGTCTTCTTGCTTGATTGCATTGCTGCCAGAAGGGTTTTATGACAGGGTTGATGAGGGCAGCATTATTCTTAAGAAATCCAAGAAGTTCAGCTTCTGCAGTAATGGGATTATCATGGAGGATGGAAATGAATGCATAAAGAGTGATATTGTAATTCTAGCAACAGGATTCAGAGGAGACCAGAAGCTTAGGGACATCTTCACAGCAAACTGGTGTAGAAATATAGTGGTTGGATCATCAGATACATCAGTTCCTTTATATAGGTACAGGTTGGACAACTTTTTTTTGGTTGCATATTTGGAGGACAATATACTGTGCTACAGAATAAAAAAATCCTTAAGAACTGCACCACCACTTAACAAAAATAAGGGAAGGTGAACTAATAGTGCAGTGAGGACATAAGAAATCGCACACAGAGTTCCCCAAATGGAGCCTACACTAGTGGAAATTATATTCAATACAAGAAAATATCATTCTGCAGTACTGCAATATCTTAGCAAACTAATACTCCCTCCGTCCCAAAATAAGTGTCTTTGATTTAGGACGGAGGGAGCATAAACAACAGCATGCACTCACTTTAGAAGTTGTTAAGTACTTCTCTATCAATTGTGTAACACCATTATCAGCATAGTAGGCATCATATGTTTTGGTTTGAAAAGAATGATAAGCTTGATAAAATCAAAATATTAAGGTAGGTCGAAGTAAATTTAAAATGTTTACTTATGTTGAGTATAGTGACCTCATTTATTAAAATGTTTCAAATTAACAGAGAATGCATCCATCCTCGGATTCCTCAGTTGGCAATAGTCGGATACTCCGAGAGCCTTACAAACATATATGCCTCGGAGAGGATGGCCAATTGGGTAATCCATTTCCTAGCTGGCGGCTTCCGATTGCCAAGCGTAAGATGCATGGAAGAGAATGTAGCAGAGTGGGCAAAGTACAAGGATCTTTACAATGGAAAGTATTTCCGCAGATCTTGCATAAGCACCGTGAATATTTGGTTTAATGATTTGTTGTGCCAAGACATCGGATGCAACCCTAGAAGAAAGAAAGGATTCCTGGCTGAATGGTTCCAGCCATATGGACCTGCTGATTATGCAGGTATTTGCTGAAGGTAATAGCACCTCACTTTCAGCCATATGGACCTGCTGATTATGCAAGTATTTGCTGAAGACAATAGCACCTTTCTCACTAGTGTATTCAATAGGAAAAGAAGATGAGACAAGAGTTGCTACCTTCAGGGCTCTGTAGATGATTTTAGGAAGTGTTTGTCTTGGAAATTTTAGTGTTACCATAACTACAGAAAATTACTTCTACAATTTTCTGGATGCATTATTGCTCCTAAAATATTTCGTTTGTTTTGGATTTTGAATCCTTTGGACTTTTATGAAGTGTAATTTTGTTCCTATTATTGTATAATATATACTGTATTCACTAGTAGGATTTTTTTTCATACTGTCCCCATAAAAAAACTAATAAACCCATGCAAAAAGCAAAGCATGAGAAGTCCGAGACACCGAAATAGAGTCCGAAGCAAGGGCATTGATTGGCGGCCTGGCACTGACAAACTTCAAGAATACATAAACAGGTAAAGATATTACTGTTGATCATGCTATAACAATGCTATAACAAATATAACAGAAGATGTCCTAAAGCTACAAGAACAAATACACATGTCTTGGAAACAAAGTTCATGCGAAGTTGGCTTGAAACGTGCAGATATTACTTTCTACCTATGTAGAGTAGCCTCAAGATAATTAGTAAAATTTACTACCTTTAGTACATTGTGTGCGTCGTAGTCAGGTTTAGCATCGGAAACTTGCAATCAGCGCTCTGAATCAAGTAAATCCATTCAATAAACTGAAGGGACTAGCATGACTTAAGTCTTGCATTGATTGGTTCAAATCTACAAACAGCACAAGATCATGTTATAGTTCTCATCCAGAAAGATTAAACATAGTGAAGTCCGAAGCAACCGTGATTGTTTTGCATCTGACAGTGTTCACAAATTATATTTGAAAAACGTAACTGAATAAGTTGCAGCACCTGGGCACTTGGGGCAGAAACTGCCAATGCATCCGGAAGTAAAACAATGCAACCACCAGCAATACTTGCAGGCAGATTTCATGAACAGCCATAGCCAGTGACCTAGTGTGTCGTTCTGTGCGACCATTTCAGCTGCAAGGGTCATTGTTATCAGATGACTATTGTACAAACTGAATGTCACAGAATGAGCTCTTCAGTTGAAACTACATTTGCTGCCATGTTCCTGAATATAGGTGCAGCAAGTCAGCATTGAACTCAAACTACTACCATTCTTCCAGGAATCTTTTCAATCGGTAAACCATTCTCCTGTGTCAGTTTCAGGAAGATGACAATATGCTTTATGTTTAATTTCCTCATGAAAAATGAGCGCATCAACTAGACACACAGTCAAATTAAAAACTGAAGGGACTTGTCAATTGATTTCCAACACTATTCAGAATTAACGACTGAAAAACAATGTGTGCGCACTTTGAACCCAGAAACCCAGAACTTCAGCTACTCTACTGTGACATATAGATTGTCGCTTTCAAGGGATTCCCTCCTTCGACCAAGTGTAACCACCACCACCGAATATAATGATCTTTTTTTTTTGTCAGGACTCAGGAATATAATAATCGTCTATAAAAATGTCAATGGGTCCAAATGACTACCCAAAAACTATTAGCTGCCCAGCTTCATGATACTCACCTCTGAAACCAAACCCGCATGTCACGGAAGTGTTGTCAAATTCACAAACAGTGCATATCGAACCATCGCAGCTGGGCAACTAAAAGCTTCCACTCTGGGTGAGCAGTTCTTTCGTGACTCATACTTACGGCTGTAAGTGACTTCCTTCAGGTTTATTACTGAGGTCATCCTGATGCCACCTGGCCGTAAGGTATGCAGCATCACCTCAACATGCAACACGAGATAGTTTGTCGATATAAATTAGCAATCATTTTAAAACTCACCCATCAGCTAGCCGTCTGTACATGTATAGCTGAAAACAAAAAAATAGCTGACGGAAGATAAAATAGCACATGGGGACAGAGGATGACAGAAATAGACGAAGAAAACAATGGAAGATATCAGGCAAGTAGTGGTTCAGCAGTTCAGCCTCATCCAGCACCCCTGGTTTACATAATAGACACTCTCTCACCTTCATCCTCAGGTTCTCCTTCCTTCCAAGAACTCTGAATAGGAGCAGCATAAATGGACAGGAAGAGGGTGGGCATTGTTGGTGCTGGTGTGAGCGGCCTAGCAGCCTGCAAGCACGCACTCGACAAGGGGTTCAGCCCGGTGGTATTCGAGGCCGATGACACCATCGGTGGAGTGTGGGCGCATACCTTGCAGTCAACAAGGCTTCAGGCGCCGACGACATCGTTCCGGTTCTCGGACTTGGCATGGCCGGCCAGCGTGACGGCGACGTACCCAGGCCACCATGAAGTCATGGAATACCTCAGGTTGTACGCGTGCGAGTTTGACCTCCTCAAGTGTATCAAGTTCAGTAGCCAGGTGCTTGGAGTTGAATACTTTGGTGCAACCGAGGAAGAGATTATGGAGTGGAAGCATTGGTCTGGTGACGACGGGAAGGCGTTCAGAGCTGGGAAAGATGGAGGGTGGAGCCTTAAAGTGAAGGACCTGAAAATTGGTGCAGTTGAGGTATTTGCAATCCCTTGGGATATCTATCTTGGTTCGAGTTTCGGAATACATGTTTGTACATGCACAAACATAGAGCCCAGGTGCAGGTTGCATCTAAATGGGGTATTATGATTCAATTTTGTTTTCACTATGGTGTGCAGTGGTAGTAAATAACTATTTGGTATAGATGAGTCCTATTAATTGACTCCACACATGTGCATAGTAACTGCTAAGAAAGGACAATCACAGAACCATATGACAATTAAAATGCTTTTTGTCGAATGGTACAGATATTTTTCATTCATTGGAAATAAAGGAACAACATCCTGAGCTAGGAAAATATGAACTAGGACAGTCTGCTTGAACAATATGATGCATTCGCACATGCCTGGAATCACTCTGTAGGCCATGCAGACTGTAACTATGTATAAGTAACATCATGTTGCAGGTTTTTCAGGTGGATTTTCTCATACTGTGCATCGGAAGGCATAGTGGAACCCCAAATATCCCAGAATTTCCAGTGAGCAAAGGGCCTGAATTCTTCAAGGGCAAAATATTGCACTCTATGGACTACTCTTACATGGATAATGCGGCTGAATTTGTTAAAGGGAAGAGTGTGACAATAATTGGGTCCGGAAAATCAGCATTTGACATTGCTGCAGAGGTTGCCAAAGTGAATGGTGAGTCCAAGAGAACTAAGACCGCACTAACTAGCAATAATCATTCAGAATATGTGTCTGACACTTCTGCCCCAATGCAGGTGCAGCTCAGCCGTGCACCATGATATACAGAACAAAACACTGGCGGGTTGACAAATTTAGTATGTGGGGAGTTAACCTTAATTACTTCTATCTTAACCGCATCTCGCAATTATTCGTTCATAAACCCGGTGAAGGATTTCTCCACTATATGTTGGCTAGTGCACTCTCTCCCTTGGTAAACAGTTATTTTCTTCTTGACTAGAGTTTTGAAAGCAGTCAACAGTCAATTTATTTTCATATGTGTGCATAGAAAGCTCATGAATCCACAATACTCCTGTTGTTTTCAGAGATGGGCAATTACAAAAGTAATTGAAACCTACCTCAAGCAAAGGATTCCTTTACAAAAACATGGGATGGTACCTGACTACAGCTTCTCCTTTGCTATGTCTTCTTGCTTGATTGCAATGCTGCCAAAAGGGTTTTATGACAGGGTTGATGATGGCAGCATTATTCTTAAGAACTCAAAGAGGTTCAGCTTCTGCAGTGATGGGATCAACCTGGAGGATGGAGAAGAAAGCATAAAGAGTGGTATTATAATTCTAGCAACAGGATTCAGAGGAGACCAGAAGCTTAGGGACATCTTCACAGCAAACTGGTGCAGAAATATAGTGGCAGGATCATCAGATACATCAGTTCCACTATACAGGTACAGGTTGGGCAATTTTTTGGGTTGGCATATTTGGGGACAATAAACAATACGCTAGGGAGAACATTTTTTTCCTAAAGAATTGCACTGAGCTAAACAATTGTAACACGGAAAGGTAAGGGAAAAGGTAAGCTGATAATGAGGTTAGGAAGTAAGATATCACATTGCGAGTTCCCAAAATGGAGTCTACAGTCAAAGCAAAAATCATTCAGTACAAAATTATATACATTATGCACAGTGCACTATTGCAAGATCTTAGCAAAGTAATGTATCAAAGGATGCGCCCACTTTTCAAGTTGTTATCTGCTTTTCTATCTCTTGCTTTGGCTCAATAAAAATAACAAGCTTAATAAAATCAAACCATTAATTTAGGTGGAAGTAACATTTGCATGTTTACTTTGTGTTATGCATACTAATCTCATTTATTAAATGGATTGAATTAATTAACAGAGAATGCATCCATCCTCGAATCCCTCAGTTGGCAATAGTCGGATATTCTGAGAGCCTTACCGACATATATGTCTCAGAGAGGGTGGCTAATTGGGTAATCCATTTCCTGGCTGGTGGCTTCCAAATGCCAAGCGTAAGACGCATGGAAGAGAGTGTAGCAGAGTGGACAAAGTACAAGAATCTTTACAATGGAAAGTATTTTCGACGATCTTGCATAAGCACAGTGAATATTTGGTTTAATGATTTGTTGTGCCAAGACATCGGATGCAACCCTAGAAGAAAGAAAGGATTCCTTGCTGAATGGTTCCAGCCATATGGACCTGCTGATTATGCAGGCCTTTGCTGAAGACAATAGCATATCTGTCACTAGTGTACTCATAGCAAAAGAATAAGAGACGAGAGCTGCTGCCTTAAGGGTTCCATAGATTATTTCAGCAAGTCTTTGTTTAGCAAGATTGTTGTTCGCTTTACTACAGGAAATAACTCTACAGTTTTCTGCAGTACATTTTAATTAGAGCATCTCCTAAGGTGCTTTACGCTTCATTTTTTTCGAGAAAACGCAAAGGATCTTTGCATTTCGTTCCATTATGAGCCAAAGATTACACAATTTACTTTCTTAAGAAATACTCTCTCCGTTCCAAAATAAGTGTCGTGGTTTTAGTTCAAATTTGGGAGTAACAGTTTTCAACCTCAAGTGGAGTAACTGCTTAGTTTATCACACAGAACAAGAAATTGGGGAGCAGAAGGAAGAACACACAAATGTAGACTAGGAGCACCAAGAGATTTTCAAGGTAAACAACTGAGATTTACTCCACTGAACAAATGTACACAGATGTAGACTAGGAGCTACCCAATCGGTTCCAGCGAACAAGCAGTAGCCAATTCCTCATACACCTAATATGAAGCACAGACCAGAGCAAACAGCAGCAAGAGACTGCCTGCCTGCCGAACCATGAATCCTAGCTACTAATCTGATCTGTCGGTGGGGGCGCGCTGGGGCCTGGCATTGGCCAGCCACTGTTTATTCCATTCAAGAAGTTGGATCAGGTAAGTAAAAGTCTAATTTCAGCCAAATGAATCAGCTGTCTACCACGAGTCCCATCACAAATTCACAATTCAAATTGTCAGGGTCAGCTACTCTGGCCACAGGAGTTGTTATCAACCCCCAGGAGTCACAGCCTCAAATGGGCAGCACATATCTGATTTGAAACTCGGTTCTATTGGAAGAGCACATCCTAATGCGGTTAAGCCACGGAAGCAGTAGGTCATGAGTAATTTCAGTCAGAAAAACTACAACAGAGTAAGCAAAGCAGATCGTCACCATACCGTGAGACAGCAGGAGCAGCGAAGCAGGTTGGAGGCAGAGGTAGAGGGGGGCACGCACGCGATCCCGACTCCAGGGCCGCCCATGGCCACGGACGCATTCCAAAGCTCCAGCCGCCAGCAGCACGATGACAAATATATCTCAGCCCTGTCCGCCTCGTACGCTGCGGTCAGCCACGAACTCGGCCCCAAATCTGTTCCAGAAATAGAAGGCATGCGAATTAACGAGAACTTGTGCCTTGGATGCACATCAGGTGCTCGACAAAATTGCTGAACGGGAACAAATGTTTGGGGAGTTCGTACCTGCAACGCAGATGCGCCAATGTCGACGCCTGAAGCTTATCACTCGACGGATTTGGAATTTGAATAAGATCGATGCGGTTCGTAACATAAACCAATACAACAGATTTTGGGGTTAAGGATAGAGGCGCAGAATGGGGAATCAGGTAACGCAATAGAACGATTTTATCACGAATCAGACACAGACTGCAGAATTTCAAGGATAAACTAGTTCGATTTCCATTCAATTCCATTCTACAGAAGATAGCAAACAACAGCGAGATACTGCGATTACATCAAAGACCACGAACCCTAGACACTCTAATCTGGCGGCGGTGGTGGCCTAGCCTCCGAATCCGTAGAGGGTGCGTCCCTGGCGCTTGAGGGCGTAGACGACGTCCATGGCGGTGACGGTCTTGCGGCGGGCGTGCTCGGTGTAGGTGACGGCGTCGCGGATGACGTTCTCGAGGAAGATCTTGAGCACGCCGCGGGTCTCTTCGTAGATGAGCCCCGAGATGCGCTTCACGCCGCCCCGACGCGCCAGACGACGGATCGCCGGCTTGGTGATACCCTGGATGTTGTCGCGGAGGACCTTCCGGTGGCGCTTGGCGCCGCCCTTGCCCAGACCCTTGCCTCCCTTGCCGCGCCCCGACATCCTTCTCGCTTCTCCTTTCTTCTCCTCGGTGAGGTTGACCTGTCTTTGTGAGGTGTAGAGCGATGAGGTGGATGGAGCAGGCTTCTGGGGCGAGGCGAATTTATAGCTGCTGGCTTTGTGCCCGGGGGCGGCCGCGATCCGCGTGATGCGGGGTGCGATCCGTCGGATGGGGGGTCGATGGAGGGGAGCGAGGACGAGGGGTGCCGCGGATCGGTGACGTGGCGGCGGAGGTGTGTTTCTTTTCTGAGGAGGAAGCGGGGTGCGGGAATGCGAGGAGCGTCTGCGCATCGGTGGGTCTATGGCGGGTGGGACCCCGCAGTTTTTGGATGGATTTTTTTGCGCGGGGCGCGTCGCTCGCTGCCGCGAAATTTTGGACGGATTTCTGGTTCGGAGACGTAAACTCAGGCTGTTGCTAGGACAGTTTGGAAAGCGTATTTCTGGGTTTTCCACGATCAATTGATATATGGGTGTTTCTTTCTCGCATTGTATACAGTCGTCTTCGACGCTATCCTCTAAAAAGACACGGTATTTGTCGTGTCCGCGGACAATGATAAAGGGAGTCCTGACTACAGCTTCTCCTTTGCTATGTCTTCGTGTTTGATTGCAATGCTGGCAATAGGTTTTCATGACAGGGTTGATGAGGGTAGCGTTATTCTTGAGAAATCCAAGAGGTTCAGCTTCTGCAGTAATGGGATCATCCTGGAGGAAGGAAATGAATGCATAAAGAGTGATATTATAATTCTAGCAACAGGATTCAGCGGAGACCAGAAGCTTAGGGACATCTTCGCAACAAACTGGTGTAGAGATATAGTGACAGGATCATCAGATACATCAGTTCCTCTGTACAGGTACAGGTTGGACAATTTTTTCAGCTTGGCATGCTTGGAGGACAATAAATACTAGCATAGGGAGAACATTTTTTTCCTAGAGAACTGCACCACCGCTTAACAGTTGTAACACGGAAAAATAAGGGGAAAAGTGAACTAATAATGAGGTTAGGAAGTAAGAAATCACACTGCTTAGTTCCCTAAATGGAGCCTACATTCGAAGTGAAAAATATTCAATAGAAAACTATATATACATATTCTGCACTATTGCAAGATCTTAGTGAAGTAATGTATATCAAAAGCATGAACCCACTTTTGAATGATTTCAGAGAGAAAGGATTCCTGGCTGAATGGTTCCAGCCATATGGACCTGCTGATTATGCAGACCTTTGCATAAGACAAGAGCACATTTTTCACTATTATATTCAAAGCAAAAGAAGAGACAAAAGCAGATACCTTCAGGGCTCTATAGATGATTTCAACAAGTCTTTGTTTTAGCCACTTTGTTGTTAGCTTAACTACAGGAAATAACTCTACAGATTACCATAATAAATTTTAATTAGTGCATCTCCTAAGATGTTTTTTGCTCTTTCAAGGTGTTGGGGGAGGTCTAGTTGCTTCCCTCAAGTTATTTTGGAGCATTCGTGCACTGTTCCCTTCCCACACACAAAACCTGAGGCAGCGAAAGAAGAGAGAACAGGGCAGTTATTTGCTATACTATATACTGAAAATCACAAGTAAATTTCATTTGATGTATCTTTACATGCATCTTGTATGAAATTTAGAAAACCCTGTATAACGGTCCAAAGCATAAAAAGAAGTCATAGGAGTGCTACGAACATTTTATTTTATTTTAGTTCCTCTACTGACAGGATAAAAAGATGTTGGGTTAAGTACAACATACCTATGTTGTCATTTGGATAGCCCAGCTCTTGACATCAAAATGCTATAGAGTATAGTCTACATAAAGAAGTTCACACCTCATATCTCAACAATCATCCCAATCTTATTATGGCAAAATAACCATGACGAAGCTAAAATGTGGGTATGAAATAGTAAGAATCAATGGTAAACAGTCCGCTGTCCAGCCCAATATGTTATGTAAATGACGAACATGTGCAGACCAAATGAATTACACAGCAAATCATCATACGATTTGCTGCTGCCATGGTAATATGAGCCAAAGTTTGCACTGCTTATTTTGTGAAGGAATAACAGTTCTCAACCACATCAATGGAGTGACTAATAAAGTGGTTCTATTTTTAAATGATCTTAGTACCTTGTTCGGCAAATCTTTAAAAACGCTTATAAATCACTGCAGAAAGGAAAGAAAACATTGGCCAACTGAGAAGCCTGCAACAGTATGAGAAGTCCAAGACACCAAAATGGGGTCCACAGAAGATAAAAGCAAAGGGAGCAAGGGCTAACTCACAAACTTGTGAAAAGAAAACATATAAAAGGGTAAAGATGATATTAGGAAAAAATGGGTGAAGGATATTACTATTGACTTATCTTAGTACTCCTTAGTACATAAAGAAAAACTTGAATACAGAATACCACTCCCTACAGTTGTACAGCAATGAGAAAAGTTACGCATCAGAGATTCAGAACAGACAAGCTAATTGATCATGACAACTTTTGAGAAGGCAGTAAAGCAACAAAGGTGCAAACCACAAGGCATTCTGAACTGAACTTTGCTTCTGCAACTAGTCGCCGTGAAAATTCGACTGCTAAGATGCCAAAATGCAAAGACAGTTCGAATCGTATCCTTGCGTGAACATGGTTGGTTTGGGGGCAGAAGGAAGAATACACAAATGTAGATCAAAAGAGCCTAACATTCACAACAATCCAATCCATTCAAGCGAACATGTAATAGCCAGTTCATCGTACATCCTAACACAGTGAACAACTGGAAATTACTACTACTACCCAATCCAGTCCATCGAACAAGCAGTAGCCAGTTCATCGCACATCCTAACATGAAGCACAGACCAGAGCAAACAGCAGAACACAGTAAACAACTGAAATTTACTACTACCCATCCATTCCATCAAACAAGCAGTAGCCGGTTCATCGTACATCCTAACATGAAGCACAGACCAGAGCAAACAGCAGCTGGTTATTGCAATTCAAGAACCCTAGCTACTAATGTGATCTGGAGCTGGGGCATGGGCTTTGCCTGCCGCTGGTTAATGTAATTCAACAAATTGGATCAGGTAGTCAAAATCCACTTTCGGCCAAGAATCAGCTCCATCCCATCACAATTCAAATGGTCAGGCCAGCTAATCGTGTCTCATGACTTATAACTTGTAATTACAGTTAAAAAGAATTTAGTTATATCAGAGGAGCAGATTTTCATGTGGTTACTTAAGCCATGAAGCAGAATTAATCATGAGAAAGTTTGGGAAGACAACAGAGGCAGCCAAGGCAGATGTGTACCGAGGGATCGCTCCAGCACTGCACGCAATCCCAGCAGGTTCCAAGGCTCCAGCACGATCACCTGCCTCCTACTCTGTTGTGAGCGGCAACGCAACCTGCTCCAGAAGCAGAGTAATGAACATCCATGCCGTCAAAAGACAAGGCGGCAAGGAAAACACAACGAACCTCAGGTGCTCGACGAAATTGCTGAACGGGAACCTCGGTACGGAGGAATCGGTACCGATTCCAAAGCATTGTGCGTTCTGCAACGGAGGTGGATCGGTGCCCGCAAGTTATTACTCGATGGATTTGGAATTGGGATAAGTTTGGAGTGTGGATTTCACAGGCCAGATACGTTCGAATTGCGTGCACCAAAAAAAACGACCGACTTGAGCAGGAGAGCCAGCTAATAGGGAATTGACGGACGCAACAGATTCCAATGATAAACTAGTTCAATTTCCATTCCATTCGATTCTACAGAAGATAGCAAACAACAGCGAGATGCTGCAATTACATCATGGACAACGAACCCTAGACACAGGCTAGCTAATCTGGCGGTGGCCTAGCCGCCGAAGCCGTAGAGGGTGCGGCCCTGGCGCTTGAGCGCGTAGACGACGTCCATGGCAGTGACGGTCTTGCGGCGGGCGTGCTCGGTGTAGGTGACGGCGTCGCGGATGACGTTCTCGAGGAAGATCTTGAGCACGCCGCGGGTCTCCTCGTAGATGAGCCCCGAGATGCGCTTCACGCCGCCCCGCCGCGCCAGACGACGGATCGCCGGCTTGGTGATGCCCTGGATGTTGTCCCGGAGCACCTTCCGGTGGCGCTTGGCCCCGCCCTTGCCGAGCCCCTTTCCTCCCTTACCGCGCCCCGACATCTTCTCCCTTCTCTCTGCTTCTCCTCGGTGAGGTTGACTTGTCTTTGGGAGGTGGCTGCTGCGGTGCTGATGGTTGGGCCGTGCGGGGCGAGGTAGATTTATAGCCGCGCGGTTTGGGGCCAGGGGCGCGGCCGCGATCCGCGTGATGCGGGGTGCCGGCCGTCGGATGGCAGATCGGTGGTGCGGAATGGGGAAGAGGGGTGGCGCGGATCGGTGACGTGGCGGGCGAAGTGTGTTTCTTTTCTGAGGAGGAGGCGGGGTGCCGGGATGCCAGGAGGGGTGCGCCTCGGTGGGTTTCTGGCAGGGGGACCCAGCAGTTTTTTTGATGGATTTTTCCTGCGCGGGGAGGTGCTCGCTGCCGCGAAATTTCGGATGGATTTCAGACCGGTGGGCCCGTGAGGCGTGGTTCGGAAGGCTTCAACTAATGTTAGGCCCTGTTTGGTTCCAATAAGTCCCCTGATTTATAAGTCAGGTGACTTAAAACCAGTGACTTATAAGTCACACCCGTTTGGTTGTCACCTGACTTATAATTTACCTTCCCACACCTTTCCACACCAATTAACATCATGTATGTGGTGGGACCCATGCAAAAGGAGGTGACTTATAAGTTTTAAGTTGGGGTGGAGCAACTTATGACTTATAAGTTGGGATGACTTATAAGTTGGGGCCGTTTGGCAAAATAAGTCACTTTTTGCACTTTTCGACTTATAAGTTGGTGACTTATTTGAAACCAAACAGGGCCTTATCGCCGGGACAATTTGGAAAGCGTTTTTCCCTGGTTTCCACGATCAATTTATATCGGGGTGTTTCTTTGTATTTGTACAACACACTAGCAAACATGCCCGTTTGTTGCAACGGGAGAAAAAAATTCTTTCATGTTTAGCTCGTGAGTCCATGCATTGTCATGGGAGAAAACTCACGTATATGATGCTATCAAGATCCGTCTTAACAGATAATTTAATTATCCATTTGTATTTTTTGCGATAATTAATTATTCATTTGTTAAAGTATACATGCACAATATATGCATTTGTGTACATGAAGAGATACATGGTTGAATGCACATGCATTGATATAGAGAGAAAAAATCAACTGATTGCAAGTTTCTCATTTCCCAATTAAAGCTATGCACCTTGACCACCCTAAACTCTCTTGTCACCCAAGTAATA